TGGAAGAGAATTGTCAGTACTGACAGAAAAATGTATGCATTATGAAAATGTGTTTAAATCATTCAAATGCTTAGATACCTGGCAATCTGTTAAGGATATCCGTGTGTCTAAACTTAAGCGTCTTCATAGTCCATCTAAGGAAAGTATTGCCGTTGCACGTCAGAATTTAATTAATCTATCGTATCCATGTCCTCCAGCATCTGAGGATTCAGCCTCAAAAGAGCGTGTAACGAAATCTGCTTCGGATAATAACGAGGTGACATCATCTTCAAAGCCTCCACCGCCTTCCCTATCGTCAACTAGTAACGCAGTAACTCAACCCCTTCCGCCGGTACTCCAGTTGATACAAGGAAACTTGTTGTGGTTCCGCCAAATAAGTCAATCTTTGTCTCTAGATTTTCGAGAGACACTACCGAAGACGATATAAAGCTTTATATCTCATCAAAAATTACAACTGTTGACTTAAGCATCAGAAAATTTAATTTTAAATACGAAAGAAATATTGCTTCGTATAAAATTGACGTAAATTTAGATAATTTTAATGCGCTGCTTAGTAGTTCTTTTTGGCCCCCGGTGCTTTCGTTCGTGAATTCGAATATAGGCCCAAAAAAGGAAATAACTTTGCTAATATTCCCCGTCATAACACTGAATCAAAAAATTAATTATTAAATCTGCTTTAAGTAATTATTACCAAAATGTAAGAGGCTTAAATACTAAATTAACGAACTTATACCTTAAAGGCCTTGAATGTAATTATAATATTCTTTCTTTCACTGAAACTTGGCTAAAACCTCACATTTGCAATTCAGAGATTCTTCAATACCATCTCAAGAAGTTAGTCTTCCACACATTTACCACCTTTATATGATGTCCAAATTCGATTTAAGTCAAACCATGTTATATGGACACACACATGTAAACACATTTTCTAATCGAATTGAAACATTTAACGGTCCCACCATAAATCACATTTTGAATGCGAGTTAAGAGTTATAGAATCGTGTTGAGAGTGCATAAAAACATGGGGTTTGTCCACACGGTTGTTTCGTGCAACTCTGTATAAAGTAAACCATTTAAATAGTTCTTGAAATTACATTAAGGCTAAGCTTTGTTATAAAATTAATAGCTAATAACCTTTTTTCATGGCTGTTTGAGTCTTTAATTATTATTTTTCCATGTTTATTATTTTCAAGAATTGACTCATGTATTATCAGGGTTGCATCGGGATAAACTCTGTTTGAAAGTGTGTTCGATCGACTCATTTCTTGTGTTGCATATAAACACTTGCATTTCAGGAGAGCTACGCTGACACGAGTTAATTCGATACCGCGTTTGATGCCATATAAACAAGGTAATTGATTCAGTAGACTTCAAATGCATTCGTGTGCAGGTTGGAAAAGGGTATATTTACTTAGCTATGCTATTTCAAGTGTTTTTTTCTCCAATTTTTATATACGAAGTATATAAATATGCAGACCAGAAGAAAGGGGGTTTAATCGCCTTTACAGCGACACCAAATTTTTAAAAATCGGTTAGTAATTTTTTTTTATTTTTCAAAATATTTTTTTTATAAAAAAAATGTTTTTTTTTCTTTTAAATGTTTTTCCCAAATTTTTACATACGAAGTATACAAATATGCATACCAGAGAAAGGGGTTTAATCACGTTGAAAACGATACCAATTCAATTCAATTCAATCAGTTCAAAATTCTTGAAATATAAGGTTTTTAATTTTTCGAAGACCCGACCTTTAACCCCTTATAGCACCTGCAGTATAAGTTTTCACAAGTTATATACCATTTAAATAAGAGCAAAATTGTAGCCTACAAACAAACTGGGAACTAGCTCAGATAATTCCTATTGGCGTTGTGACAATTGTATCTACATACATATGTAGTATATCAGGAAAACGACTCGGTCGCAAGAAGCTAATGGAAGCGCCCATGGGAGTGATGTGGTAAGAAACAACGCATATTTGGTAGGATTTTAGGGCTCGCGACGAAACGCATCTACAGGTTAGACTGGTTTCGTAAACGCATTCAGTAAGCGAAAAATTATACACATAATGAGTTATTGAATTTTCTGAGCCATTTTTTCGCTCTTCCCACTACCCACATCCAAAGAACGTTGAAAACTAAAAGCTGGTTTAATTTTCTTATTGACGCCAATTACTGTAGTGAAGACAAACACCAACAGTTCGTTCTTCACTCGCTTAGATAATAAACTCAGTTGTGAAAACATTAGGAAATTTTCTCACCTTTCCTTACGTCCTTGCTTTCCGAATATTTATAGGAAAAATTATAAATTTAGCCAGTTTTTTGGTGCCTATAAAATATTAACAGAAAATTTTTAACATTCTCTGCTATCACCAGCGCTGTTAATCTTTGTAGACTTTTTCAGAGTCGGCTCAAAATATTCGCTGTTAACATTAATGGGATATTTAAATATTGATGACTTCCTGTTAAATTTACATAAAAGCCGATTTCGTATAAAAAACCTGTTATTGCAGCCATTTTTATATTCCATTTATGGCCGTTTTTCCTATACTATAGTAACTTAAAAACCTCCTGAAAGCTAATGAATAGTAGCATGCTCATCTGTGCAATCACCTACTGTTAGAAAGCGTATGCATGTTTTCATATGTTCAGGTTGAATGAATATTTTTAAATTATTGTTTCAAATACATAATATGATTATTTTCGGATGTTTTTTGAACACGAAAATTGAAGTCATTCCGTTTCCTGATACGAAAAAACATACATACATACGTATATGTATTTCCGAGTGTAAAATTTCCCGTTGCTTCCACGAGTGGCTGTCAAACTTTTTCCCTAACTGTTTGCATTTTGGTCCCAAACCAATTAGGAAGACGGCAAAATGGTGTGTAAAAGAGGAAACGGAAAACACTGCGAAATGTGTTGCATACCTTCAAGTGAATCGATGTAAAACAAAAACCGTTAAATCAAATTACATTAAATTAAGTTAAATACAAATTAAATCTATTAAAATTAAGTTAAATAGAATAAAACAAAATAAAATAAAATAAAATAAAATAAAATAAAATAAAATAAAATAAAATAAAATAAAATAAAATAAAATAAAATAAAATAAAACAAAATAAAATAAAATAAAATAAAATAAAATACACTAAAACGAAAGAATAAAACAAAGCAAAAAATAACATGAAAAATAAATTAATTAAAACAAAATTAAATTAATTGAATTAACCTAACCTAAAATTAAAAAAAAAATAATAATTAAAAATAATAAAAAATATTAAAAGAAAACTAAATATTTAAAATAAAATAACATAAAAATGTATATAAATATTATAAAATTAAGTTGAAATATATTGAATTAAATTAAATTAAATCAAATTAAATTAAATACAATAAAATAAAAATTTAAGTAGATTAAAACAAAAAAATAAATAAATTCAAATAAAATAAATTAAAATAAACTAAATAGAAATAAACGAAAACAAATTTATAAAGTTTATTCAAATAAAAACAGAATAAAACAAAATCAAATTAAAGTAAAATAAAACAAATTCAATTTAAATTAAATGAATTAAATTAAATATAAACCTAAGTTATATACTACACGGCATATGACACAAAATTTATGTTTACTTTTAGCGTAATTAAGAGGCTTGTTTTTAAAATTAAATTTTTCAATAAAATATTTAAAGACAAATAAATGTTATGATTATTCATGTGTGGCACTGTACGTAAATAAGTACGAGTAAGTTAAACAAAAATGCTCGGAGACACATCAACTGTGGGGTGGAAATACATATAATACACATGCGCATAAATAACTGTGCTTATGTTTAAGAGTATGTGTGTGTGTATGTGACGATAATGGTGCACTATGGATTTACTAGCGAGTACAGAGAATTTCCGCGCCTCGAAAACATATACTACAATGTACATATTTAAATGATTGAAAGCGGCTACCCACCGGGCTAAGGGACGTGAAAGTCAATGAAGAGAATCAGATTTGTATGCGAGACAACACGCGGAGCAGCTGGCAAACTCATGCACAGGCGAACATTTCGTCCAATTCACGCAGATATGCTTACATAGCAAAACGTTCAATTAAATAAAAGTGGCAAAGCCTGCGATTGTGGACTACACCGGTAGAGCCTACTACATACATACATAAATATGAGTACATATGTGGCGTGCATTGAATATTGATAGACTTTTGTAATAAATATACAAATATAACCAAAATGTAAATTTAAATCGAAAAAACACACTTACATATTTCCTGGCAAAGGTGGCAAACGTAATTTATGCTTTTGATTTTTTTATTCCTACGAGCACTTTGTAATTATCATCGATTTTTTCCGAGCTGCACAAACATGGAGCGCCGAATTCTCGCCATTATTATATCGCACATTGACAAACGCGCACGCAGAAAAGAGCTTCCAGTTGTGAAAAGTGTTTTACTTGAGCGAATTCTGTTTTAGAGGAATGCGCAAGAAGAGCAATAGCCAAAAATAAATAAATAGTAACAATAACAACAATAAATAGGAAACATTTAATTTGCGGAAGCAAGCATTCTGCCGCACAAAAATCAGTCGCATCAGCGAAAAATGACTATTACTGCATTTCAGTTCTTCGGCAGTTTGGCCCTTGTCAGTGTCGCCTATAAATTTGCGCACACCGTCTTGCCATGGCTATATGTGAATATAATTGGGCCGAAATTCCTTGGGCCAAAACTCGATATAAGTCGCGTTGGAGGCTGGGCCGGTTAGTTTTATGAATCATGTGTTAAGCGTTCGGCTATTCGGTGATTAGCTGATAAGAAAAACATAGAAAGTGTCGATTCTATTTATGTATGTGTATATCTGTGTGTACTACATCTGCATATGTGCATATGTAGGCATAAGTACCCTGCAGTGAAAACTCAAAATAGTCAGGAAAAATACCAGTTTACAACTAGAATATCCTTACTGAAACCGAACTAGTTCGAAAATGACCAGACTTGTACCAAGTAAAAAAACGATTTATTAATGCCCTGTTTTATTTGACTTCAACAGTTTATTACAATAGAGTACACAAAATATTACAACTTTTATTTGGGTATATTGTACACCGTTATAGCGAATACGTACTCGCAATTATACCATACCAGTTAAATAATGATTAATATTCATAATGATTACTAATTAAATCATGTTTTTTGGATAACCGTTTAATGATTAAATACAGATATTAGCACCTTTTTTGCGATTAATAATTAATTACTTAAACAGAAATTTTATAATTTTGTTATTTTTGATCATTTGCAATTATTTTGGACACGATTAATGTAATTATTTGATTAATTTCAAATATTTATGTATTTATTTTTCGTTTTAATCAATACTCAAAAAATTTAACACTTATTATTGGCAAACCTAGGGCTGCTTAAAAAAATGTGTAATGTATTAAAGTGTACTTAATCAAAAGTTTTTTATTGTATATTCATGAATTCATTTTTTTTGACTTGCAGGATAGTGGTTTTGGTACATAATTAGACTAGTATTTTTCTGTATATTTTGAACTAGTACGAGACTGGTATATTTCTGACCGAAATCTGAACATTTCCATCTCGTAGGGCATCCCCATGTTAAAAATACCAGTTGATTGCATGGAAAAAAGATAGTTGGCTGACTAGTTGGGCATGCGGTTCATACTAGTTGTGAGGTAGTTTAAAACTAGTACATTTGACTGCAGGGTAGTTAAAAGGGCTATTGGTGTAGTTGTATAAAAACTGTCCATTATATATTTTTATTTTCGGAGCAATTAAGCGCGTTCTTTTTTTCATTTAAATTTTTAGAATTTTTAAAAATGTTTCTCAAATTGCTTCTGTGCATAATTGAATTGCAGTGCAAAAGTTTAAGAATATTTATTTGTATAAATCGAGTAAAAGGTCTGAAATTTTAAAGAAAATCAAATGCTAAGTTTTTATCAATATAGCCCATTAAGTGCTTTTTACCACTCTATTCTGCATCACTGAAAAATTCTTGTCACAGTTTTTATTACGGAAAAATATATGAAAAAGTTTAAATTTGTCAGTAATAAATTTTTTGTCACGGATACAAAATTGGGCTATTAGTCCGAAATTGCTTTTCGAAAAAGGTTATTTATTCAAAAATTGTACATATATACATACATACATTAGACTGCGTGAAATAAAACAAATATTTGTTTTTTCAATCCCATCTCAAAATTTCGCTGTCCATCACAAAAAAAAATAATAATTTATAATAAAACAAATTTTATTCTCCAACTTGTTTTCAAATAAACTTTTAAATGTAATAAATAAAAACTAACAACCTTGTAGCCTATTCAATTCTAGTATAACAAGTGCAATTTTGAAGTAGCAAGGATGTACCGCTGATTTTGTGGTAATTTTTTTGTTGACGGTGTCAGTCATTTTCCTCCATACAAAGTGTGCGCGACGACTCGTTTACATGAAAAAAAATGAAGGAAACCCTCAACAAAAAAAACTTCACACTTTCACTAGCTATACTGAAATTAGATGGCCTACAAGTGATTTATTTTTATTTGTTATATTTAATTGTTTACTATAAAAAAAAGTGGCGGGAAAAGTATTTTTCATTAGAAATTCGTATTTTTGCGAGCGCTAACTGAAAAAAAGATAGTGGGCTGAAATTTTGCCACAACTACATATGTTATTGTGAACGACAACGAAACTTTCATAGGGGAACGAAAGAAAAACCAAGTCACTTTATTTGGCACAGTCTAATGTACATACATACATACTATGTACGTATACAAAATAAATATATATTTATATATATATATATATATATATATATACGTGAGCATACTTTTTTATTGTGTGCTACTTATCAGCGTTGCTTTTATTAATGAGTTGTTTTCTTTTCCTTACCCCTACAGTCATCACCGGCGCTACTGATGGTATTGGCAAGGCGTATGCGAATGCGGTATGTCATACGATTTAAAAAAAGAAAATTTAACCTGAGCCTATTTGTACATAAATTGAGAGAAAGAATATCAACCGTCTCATTTCAACAAATACATAGTTTATATAGGGCTCATATTCAACAGCCACAAAAAGAACAAAGGGCTATCCTCATTTAGTGGGGCATCTACTCAGGGTAATATAAAATGTTGCCACCGTAGACCACACGGATATGATATATATTTGTGCGGAAGCAAAAATCTAAAATTCTTGGAGAGTTAAAATTCATGCATGTGAAATAAGCTCATGATGTTTCTATGTTGACTCCGAACAATTTTTTAGGTTTGGCCAAGGTATGTCCCTTGGAATCAAGGACTGGGAGAAATAAAGGTATTGGGAGGGACCGTAGTGGTACTTGAGTATCGTTCCTAATACTCCAGAAAATTTTTCATGGCCNCATGTCTTAAAAAGTTTGGCGATTGGTTTAACAAGGGAATCCACACACCGAATGAAAAATATTGGGGGAAACCCATTAGTGCAGTTGAAACTTGGTTTGAGGTGCAAGATTGCATCTGCAACATCATCTTCAGTGATAATAAATGCGTCAATTTGCCTTCTACGTTTTTTTTTTTAATAAAAACACTCTCGAAAAAATGCCTTTTTATATGTTTGTATCTTTTGGCTGCAGGTGATTCAAAGAAAGTATACGGATGCAAAGTCGGAAAGAAAGTAGATACTTCTTAGAAGATATTGGGGCGTATCATGAAAGTTTCCTATCATTTTCTATACAAAAAATTCAAATTATCGATTCGTACGAAAACCAGAATACGCCTCATTATTTCTCTTCGTTTCACGATCAGGAAAATTCGAAATAAACATCTTAAGGCGGCCACCGTAGGCGAGTGATTTGGAATCCCAGGTTCGGGCAATGGTAGTAATTGCGTTTCAGCAGTTAATGAGAAAACTCCAGGTTAAATTCCGCATTGAAAAAGTTGCCAAAACCCTTTGCTTTTCGGAGATGGCATACAATTTTAGACCCCTCCAATTGTGTATTAACACAAGACGTTCGTCAGAAATAATAAATAATATAAAAAAAAACTTTTTAATATACAACGCTTTTAT